AATCAATTTGAAGGAGAAACTGTTATCACCAGTGACCATGCATCCCTAAATGAAGAAAAATTTAACAATCTTTATGTGAAATGAAAACACCAAGTTTATCCCAAATGATATGAAAAAATTCAATATCCAGTGACCTTGTATCAAGTTGTTTGGTGTGTTTTAAATCATTTATGTCATGACACATTTTTTTCAAGTATAAAAATTCAATGTTGTGTGAAATGAAAATTCTACCAAACTTATCCATAAAAGATATGTGTCAAACATGAATTTTGAAATTTTTCTCCCAGTGACCTTGTGGCCCCAAATGACCTTCTATATAATATTGATGTAACACATTATCATGAATCTTTGTGTTATTAATGGAACTCAAGTTTATCCATAAGAAAATATGAAACTAGAGAATATAATGTGACCTTTATCAAATGACCTTGGGTCAAGGTCATGACACATTAGGTTATGAGCAATCTTAATGTGGAGTAGTAGATTCTAATGTCCCTGTAAAGAAACAATAGCTGTCATGTTTTATTTCAATAAATTCACTCTGACTGGGGATGCCATATCCCCCAGGAAGAGGTATCAAATAACCAAATAGGTGCTGCAGATAAAAATGAAATAAATAAAAAAAAATATGAAATTTATTCTGATGGGGAAAAAAAGATCTACATGTATAAGTAAATCAAATATTCAGATCACTGTCAATATAAGAAATTCACTGGAGATACTTGTATTTGAGTGAAGCTATAGGACACAGAAGGGGGCTCATATAAATAAAAGAGAAATGTACAGAAATCTTAGGGAAGTAAAAAAAAAATCAATGGACAATGTCTGGAATTTGGGAAATATTTGCGCAACTCTTAGGGTCTTGATTGTAAGCAATGTCAATATTTAAAGACCAACATACAAGTCATCGATAAATATTCATGCACAACCAGAGTCGCAAAGACTCCCCGATATTGCATTGCTGGTATTTTTTCTATCTAGCTATCAAAAAGGACCTCTTGATAAAAATCTTCTCCATATTATTCCCTTCAGACAAATGATTCATAGGTTTGATATCGCTGGGGACAAGTTCAATAGTGGCTTGGCCGTGTGTCGGGAGATGGAACTATAATGTCTAGATCGGGCCTGTCAGTCCTATCTCAAAATACTCTGGATCAGCTCCCGAACTTTTAAGAGTGTACAAAACAGTTGGCAAGAAATAAATCTTTTATTTAATGCACTAAGATACTTCAGTAATCTGCAGTGGCATTGTTACCCTTATAATAAATGCAGTGTACAACCTTTTAAAGAGGTTATCTACCCTGAATTTAAAGGCATGTCACATAATCACTCTCAAATATGATAAATGTGCAGAATATGCACGTGTAAATGATTAAGTATTGAACTTATTAATAAACCTCATGATTATATGATCACTGAAAAGTGCACACCCAAAGATATCAGTTACTCCTTAATTCCTTTAACTCTTTAAAAATGGTCTCCATTTAAAAATTCCTGTTTGCAAACTATGCATGCTTTTTGAAGGACTTTGAAGTAAAAAAAAACTTATGAATCAGGTTTATGTACCTAAGGAACTTAAGTTGAAAGTCAAAATGTTACATGTACTGAATATCAATCACATAGGGTTTGGGTAGGAGGTACAACTTTGCTTTAACCTCTAGGTATGTTTCATCAATGATATGCAAAACTGTTACAATATTTTGGATGCCAAACTGTTACTGTATCATGTGTACTAATTTTAGACACTAAATCTATTGAATAAAACATTCCTCTTCCAAGGTGTACGAACTTCATCCCCAGAATGGTATACAGCAAAACTAAGTTATAACGAAGTTACTGGGACCTATGAAATTACTTTGCTATATTCGTAATTCATTCAGTATAAGGAATTCATTAAAATTTATGCAGCTGGGGGTCAAAGATAACTTTGCTATATCCGTGAATTCGCTATAGAATGGTATAAAACTATATCCTCCATATTTTGTGGAGGAAATTGTCTCAAACTTTTGACACTAAATCTACCGGGTACATGATCTAGTGGGAAAAACTTTCCTCTAAAAGGTAGAACTCCTTCCTTAGAATGGCAGAGGAACCTTATCCTCTCTGTAGTGGAGGAACTCCTTCCTAATCATGCTATCTGAAGACACTAATTAGTGAGGAAAACTTTCCTCTACATGATAGAGGAAATTCATCCTCAGCATACTGGAGGAAACCTCACTCTGAATAAGTCAGAATTAACTGTATAAAAATGCTGTGGAGGACCATTTTCATCATTTCATTTTCAGCAAGCTGAAGGAACTATATCCTCTGCATGCTGAAGAAAACCTCACATCTGAATCTGATGGATGGAAATATCAAAATTTGAATAAAAACTTGATTCTCTGAATGGAAGAGGAATAATGACCTTGATTGTGATAGAAAGTTGCTACAGAGATTGCCAGACAGAAATTTTATGTGAGACAAAGTCTCATACAACATTTACATGACCACCCCCTAGACCTCAAAAACACCTGAATTCCAAGCCCACTATTGACTTTTGTTGCTTTATTAGTTTGCTTTGTTCCTGCTAACAAACAGCACCATATGTCTGAGGATTCTCCATAGTCAGGAAATATGGCTTTTAATTAAAAATTTTCATAAAAATTTCATGAAAGTACTCATAATCACTCTGTTTCCTATCCCATTACCAGGTATGTGAAAGAGGCAGAACATGGCTTTTGAAGTAGACAAACAGAATTTTGTATTTGGCATAATCCTATGCAAGAATGTTTATCAACCCAAAAAAATCTTTGTGTCATCAAAGTACTATGTTCTGGTGTATTTAATTTGTATTTGCCAGTTTTGTTTTCTGGACAAGGTAAAATGGTAGCTAGGCCTAAAGAATGGAATGGATGCTGATGGGTAGCAGTTGATCAATGATATGATGATAGATATATACTGTAATTCCACTTAATTACAGAAATATCAAACAATATCAATGGATTGTCCATAAATATTTAATGTTGACATCATTCAAAAGGGAGATAAATCAGTGACCATCATAACATGCAGTCTCATTATATATTTGAATTTTAAAGAGACAAAGATTAAAGCTCCATCATTTAAAAAAAAAATAATAATTTGAATCAAAATATGTATCTGATTTATAATAGTCATGACCTTTTTGCAATAAAAGATGTATGTATATTTACTGGAAGAGGATATCCTACTTCTATGAAATTTGAAATTCCCAGAGGTCAAAATATTGAGCTTAAGTTGATTTATTGAAGTGCAACGCACTGAATTGAAATCTATAGCAACTACATAAAATGGTATCAATAATTCAGAAATATCTTAATGGTAAACTTCGGGAGGATTTGAAGCCATTAAAACCTTGATCTAGGGAATGTATCAATGATGCAAATATTGACAAAAGTTAGTTTTTGTTTGCTTTGATTAAAAAAATTGAAAAATTATTCTAATCGACCTAAAAATACGCATCATTTAATTATTGCATGATTTGTTCATACATTTGCAATGTAACAATTAATTTATTGACCCTTTTCTTTAATCTGATGAGTTTTCCATTTTTATATAGAAGATGATTCTGTTGTTTCTGCGTAATGCTTAGCTTTAAAAAAGAAAAACACCTTTTCCTTTCTTTCGTGTTTCCCTATTATTACCACTGATTACCTCTACTATTGTAACTTTTATGGTAAGCAGTCACTATATGAATGTGCAGGCATTTTTTACAAAAGTTTGGTACTTTATTTATAATATATCAGATGTCTATTACACTCAGATTGGCCGGTACAAAAGGCATATCATATGGCATATGGTGGGGAGTTTTCAATAAAATACTGGTACCCTCATACTTTTCCAGAGTTCAACAAAGAGATTTTAACAAACCTAGGATTCAGTCAGTACTGTAGCATATAAAAGTGAGACCAAGTCATACATTATACTCTATAATCAAGCCAATGCATTATGAATCTTTCAGTATTATGGAACACAGATCCTGGTGGGTAATTTGCATGGAGTATTTCCTAACACCCCCCCCCCCCTTAAAATAAAATTGGAATTCATTCAATGATTTGTTCTAGCCGCTGCATTTCATTTCCGGAAATATGCATAACATTTCCGACAATTTTTTATTTCATTTCCGACATTTTTTGTTTTCATTTCCGACATAATTTTCTTTTCATTTCCGGAATTTACCTGTGCGGCAATTCAATGTTTTCTAAGTAAAAGAAAATGGAATTTTAAAAGTATTTCTACCAAAATATTAATAAAAAAACATCTATACATATATATGCCTATATGTAGCTCTAAGTATATGTAAAAGTGTTCAATGAGCATAAAACTTTTTCACCACATTTAATGTGCACTAAATTAAGTGTCAGTGACAGCATCATACTTATGTTCAAGTCACTGATAGATTTACAAAATTGGATTTCAATGATTTATTAATGATTTAATCCTTTAAATTTTTCATAGGTGAAGTTTTTAAATCTGTTAATATAGGAACTTCATATGTATTTGAAAAATGTCGGAAATGAAAACTAAAAAATGTCGGAAATGAAAAGTTGATAATTACCCCAAATTCCGGAAATGAAATGCAGCCGTTCTAGCTAGGAGAAGGTGTAATTTACCTTGGAAGCATTAATGAAATCTTCACTATTATTGGGAATATTCTAGAGTTTATTCTTTAAACTTGTATGCTAAATACTGTTTATGTTAACAATCATTAAGACAAAAGATGCATGAACTACTTTCAAGTTTATAACGCAAACCACAATTCTTTTCTTGCAACTTGAATTTACCCAAAACTCCCAAATAATTTTTAGCAGAAGAAAATAAAGCTGCAACAATTTGATTACTTGGAACTTCAAATTCTATGAGCACATAAAATGCTCGTGACAGAAGGATTATGCAATTTGCCCTTATTAGTTCATACATCTTGGGTGTTAGGTGTGAATTTTAACATTTCCAAAATTAGTAAAATAAAAAAAGTGACTCACCATTGTTCTCTGCATAGATGGCCACAGTGCACAAAAGCACCGCTGCAGCAAAGGTATTCAGAACGTCATTCATGGTCAGCACAGCATTAAAGCTGCATGTACTAATTCTATTTTACCTGAAAATTGAAACAATACACAAAAATACAACATCAAGTTTTACCAACTCTGATTTTTTTTTTACCACCACCAGAAAATTTTGACCACCACCAGTTTCTTTGTTAGAGTTGTTGTTTCAGTCAAATTTTGTCCACATTGAGGTTAATTAGATTATCTGTTAGAATTAAGTGTTTCTCAAACAAAATAGCATCCACACAGTACTGATATGATGTAATCCTTATTAGACGCTAGCAAACACACGTACACAATGATAAAATTAAGTCCTCCAATAGGCAAAGTGATGAGTTAATTCTCTTGTTTAAATTTTCCTTCCATAAACTTTAGATTTATCTAACGTACACTGGTTTTTAAAGTCATCTTCCCCTCATAAAGTTAACACTTATTTTCCAGCTGGATATGACACTGGCCCATTCAGAGAACAGACCAAGAGATAACACAGTGAATCACTGGTAAAATATTAGGGGGACAAATTAATTACACCTCTCTCTCTCTTCAGGAAAAAGAACTTTCTTTATAGCCTAAAAATTCCAAGTCTCCCAAAAGGAGAAATTTAAGTTTTGACAGCAAAGCTTTTAAGTATAAAGGCAATTAAGTTACAGTCAGTAAATTTCATGAATGAATGAAGTCATACAGTGTACAATGGGACACTACAATACACAATCAGTGCCCACAGCCACGGGTCAATGAAGACACCTGGGATTTTCTCATTCACAAAAATCACTTTTTGACCATTACCTATGGTAAATAATAAAAGTAAAATCCTCTGAATTATGTCACAAATTTCCCATAATAAATATCCCTGTCTAAAAGTCCAGTGCACTTAAAACATCCTTCCAAGGGAAAAAGCCAGTCCTTCTCTTACAGTCCCAGGTACACATACCAATAACATTGCTTTTAAATGAATCAGCCAATCAGAGAGCTTGTTGCATTTCCTATGGTGCAAGTCTTGATGTGTCTTTTGTCACAGTACAAAGGGAGATAAAGCCTATAGGCATTCGTTCATGGATCATCACACACATATTGTTATCTAACACACTAAAGTTAAATATTTAACCCATGCCACCTTGTCATATTACATCAAAAGAGAACTGTGCAGTTGTGAATTTAAAAAAAAAAATCTGGTGTGTTTTGTAATATTATTTGCCTAAACGACAATAACCCTAGGGTGGTGGTGGTGGTCACAATAGGTACATTATAATGATGTAATATAATGACAAAATACATTAGACTGGAAAATGTAATTACTATTAACAGTGAGAACTTCCTTTATAGTCCTCCATGTCTTTATTTCCCATAAAATTCTTTAATGGATTTCATTATGTAATCTAAATTTCAGCCCTTTTGTTTCCATAAAAAAGAAAAAAAAAAATTGCATGTGTACATGCACTTTAATTTATAATTCATTGCAACTTTTGAATCATGCATTGTTTGAGACATGAAAAAAATGCTAGCAAATTTCCATGTAAATTAAAATTGATTTCAATAAAATTTTCATTGCGAGTATACTTCAATTATAGTAATATATTTTGGACCTAATTCAACTCAAAATAATATTATAACTCAAAAAGAAAAACCAGAAGTCTCTGTCGAGACTGTAGCTCTACTGGTTTGTACTTATCAAAAACCATTGCACTATTTTATGTATCATTGTGTAGTCTACTTGTGTGCCAACTTATTTTGAAATCAAACTAAAACTGTAGAAGGAGTAGCGTTTTAAAGGAATTTCACAGAAAATTCTATTTTTAGTAACCATGGTAACACCGTTCATCCAAATCAAAAACTGATGCATTATTCTATGTATCTTAGTGTAGTCTACTTGTGTGCCAAGTTTTATTGAAATCAGACCAAAATAGCGTTTTAAAGGAATTTCACAGAAAATTCTAATGGCAACATCGTTCATCCAAATCAGAAACTGATGCACTACAAGTCTACTTGTCATTGTGTAGAAGGAGTGGCGTTTTAAAGGAATTTCACAGAAAATTCTATTTTTAGTAACCATGGCAACATATATCAGAAACCGATGCACTATAATATGTTTTGTGTGCCAAGTTATATTGAAATCAGACCAAAAAAAATCGTTTTAAAGGAATTTCACAGAAAATTCTATTTTTAGTAACCATGGCAAATATCCAAATCAAAAACCGATGCACTGTTCTATGTATCTTAGTGTAGTCTACTTGTGTGCCATGAAATCAGACCAAAACTGTAGAAGGAGTAGCATTTTAAAGGAATTTCACAGAAAATTCTATTTTTAGTAACCATGGCAACACCGTTCATCGAAATTAAAAACCGATGCACTTTTCTATGTATCTTAGTGTTGTCTACTTGTGTGCCAAGTTTGAAATACACACATATTGCATGGGTACTTCTAAGTCTGTAAAAGTTTAAGAACACATATTGCATGGGTACTTCTAATGTCTTGCCTTAAATATTTAAATATAAGTAAAAAAATAATCAGGATAGAGTACTTTGCATGATCATTATTTACTTATAAGACAAAATTATTTCTATATATATGCATGCAGTGCATTTATGAACTAGCTCAAATGATTATACCAAAATATGAATTTACCCAAAATAAGTCTACAAATAAAAACTACTTATTTTGCCATTCCCTGTTTGATAATCACGGGAACTTGATGTCATATTTCTTTCTTATCTACCAAATTATAAAGGGGTTATATTTGTGATAAGAAAAAATATTGCACCAAGTGCCTGAAATCTAATGTTTGTTACAACTCAATGAAATATGAATGTTGAACAAAGAGAGACAACTGCTGGATTAGTCATTACTTACCAATTCATGAACCATTTAAATATAGCACCACATGGACAGATGGTTCTTTCGTGTCTACATTTTCTCAATCAGCCTGCAAGTAACAATATCAATAATAATGTCAGTACTAAGATAGACACAATATCATTACAACTGTTAAAGAAATCTTTGACACTTTTATAAATGAGTAATGCAATAAAACTCTTTCTCACAGTTTGATTTCTCTAATTAATTACAATTGATAGCAACCTCCTACTGATCGAATAATTTCATGTTTTAAATTTTAGCTGAAAGGTATCTAAAAGAGACTAAATAACCTCTTTTCCTGCCATCCAGAGAAGAAACCTGAAAACTGTACCATGAAATATAAAATTAATAAGAGCTTTTAAATTAATGCAAAAAAAAATTAATTTCGTTAATCTCTTCCAAGGGGGAAAATCAATAAAATAAAAACACCAAATCACCTCCCTTTTTTTGTTTACTGGAAACTGCTCTTCTTTGTGGCATTTGGTAGAGTTATTCATATATATAACACATATGCATTTGTTCAACAGACTTCAATTAAATAGTTTAATTTTCTTAAGTGTACATTATTTCCTCTATAACATTTGAGTAAATAACCTCACTTCATGTGAAATTATGTCAGAACAAGAGGCCTATGGGCCACATCGCTCACCTGAGTAACTTTGGCCATTCTGTTATTTAACAGATTTCCCAATGTAATACCTATCTTGACCTTGCCCAATCCCAAGGGGTCATGATTCGAACAATTGAGAATTATCTACATTACCCCAGGATGCTTCCAAATAAGTTTCAGCTTTTTTGGCCCAATGGTTTTTGAGAAGAAGATTTTTAAAGATTTTTCCCTATATATTTCACTGTAAAACTTTAATTCCCTATTGTGGCCCTGTCCTACCCCCCGTGTCAGGATTTGAACATTTAGAATCTACACTACCCTGGGATGCTTCCACATAAGTTTCAGCTTTTCTGGCCTAGTAGTTCTTGAGAAGAAGATTTTTTAATGACCCAACCCTATTTATGTCTTTTCTTGATTATCTCCCCCTTGTAAAGGGACTTGACCCTTCATTTTAACAATTTAAACTCCCCTTCACCCAAGGATGCTTTGTTAAATGTTTGGTCAAAATTGGCCCAGTGGTTCTTGAGAAGAAATTGAAAATGTGAAAAGTTTACAGACAGACAGACAACGAACAACGGGTGATCAGAAAAGCTCACTTGAGCTTTCAGCTCAGGTGAGCTAAAAACCTTTTGTCTGATACTGAGACTAAAGGATCACCACACACATTATCCAAAATTTTTCATTCTTTGGACAAAATGTCACAAGTTTATTGTGCTGAATACACATTAACATGCTCTTGTCTGTAATGCCTGGGGACAGAAGAAGAACTTTTTCTATATAATTTTTTTTTTTTTATGGGTATTCCTGTGTGAACAGAGTGGTGGATCTGTGTGGTTTTTATGTCACATGACATGGTCATATAAATAGCAGGTGCGTGCTTAAAAAAATACTTTTTAGGCACACACACACTATATAATCAATAAAGCCCCATTTTCACACTAAAGCCTATGACTCTGGGGACATAAAGTTCCACATTTTGGAAGAGGGCTCAATGATTATACAAACTTGCCCTCAGTTTAACTGCTTCAGATGTCCATGAGTAAAGAAGAAACTTTTTTAAAGAGTGCTTTTTTGATGGTTTTAAAGTGCTTTGCCCTTTAGACCCTAGGAGGGCAGTGATTGAGAATTTCAGGATTTTTGTTCCTCTTTGTCCATAAAATGTCATACACAAAAATTATAGTTGAAATTGATTCAGGGTTTCCAGAAAAAAGCTGAAAATGTTCAAATATAAAGAGGACTGAGGGACAACAAACTATGCAGTAAATCAGGTCGCAAAAGGTCACCTAATTGACTCAAGTGATCTAAAAATATGTATGATAGTACTATATATAATGACCATTGATTTCAAAATGTTTTTTTTTTAGGAGTGGATAAAGGAGTTGCTTCCCTTTCTCCACATCCACAACAAAGAATTTCATGCATGAATCTCAAACTTTAAATTGAGAAATAAAATAAAACAATATTTCTTATTTAAAGAAGGGTGCAGTTATTTCTTGTTTCAAGGCAATTATACAAGATTCTTATTGGTCTGACATTAAATCTCATGTAATTCAAAGCAGCATTCCATCCTTATGGAATGAAGATAAGTATCATCTTTAAAATGCTCCAAAAAGCATCATTTATTTATTTGCACACCCACGCTTTTGCAAAATCAATAATTTGAATTCAAATGAGGAACCAATCAGAACTCAAGATTGATGTGTTTCATCAATGATTGGTTGAATTTTCTGGTTTCAATTATTTTATCCATGCAATATGAAATTAATTTTTTTTTTAAAGTTGTAGAAATTCCTTCACACTTATAACAGATGTTTTCTGAATACCCACTGCCTGTAGAAAACATTATTCAGAAATGACAAATTTTTGATCAGCTGGGCACCAAATTTTTCAGTATCTTACATTAAATCTGCCGACATTCTGTGCTGTGATCAGCTGATAATGACTTTAACATAAATATGCCACACAGAATAGAACACAGACCTGAGTGTTAGCAAAGTGACAGAAGGCATCAAACAGATTTCTAGCTGACCTTTATTTTTAGATGTACACTTTTTACAAACAAGAATATCCTGTCAAACATCTCTGCACTGACTTACTCTAAATAAATCTCTTTGGAGATTTCCCAAAAGAGCTTCACACAAAATGATTTTCTAATTCTCCCATTCAAACTATAAAGACCTTGTCAAATAAATACCACAGAAATTTTTAAGAAATCAGCTGATTCTTCCATCTATACTTAGGATGCTTGTCTCTGGATAAGACATGTAATTAATCCAACAGTACATTCATTTTATAAAATTGTGTTTTCTGAATATCAAGGATGAAGATGAACATACAGTCAAACTCAATAATAGCAAAGTCCTGTCTGAAGATCACTTGTTTTTTCTGAACCGTGATTTTGTTCAAGTTTTGCGAATTTGCTGTATATATTTTCCTTCTTTTGACTGACTACTAAATATGTATTGTTCAGGAATTAAGTAGCAAATACAAAACTAGGTTGGAGAATTAAAGTTTTCTGTTGAATGAAATTCATTTTTTTCAGCCCTGAATGTCATTTTTATGCTGTAAAGAGTCCCTATATCATACTGTACTCAGCTGTATAGTTTGTAACCTATTCCAAGTACTACATGTATTATATGCATTAGCCTGCAACTGCAAGACTATATTGATAATCTGGCAGTCAATCTATTGTATATACTGGGGTCTACTGGGAGCCTCTGAAGCATATAAAGACACAAGAAGATTTTATGACAAATGTATATTGATAGTAAGTGAATCTCTATGGAATTGGTGTGTTTTAACCCTTGCCCATGTTGTAGCATTGATCAAAGTCGTGACATTATGGTGCTCAGTAGCATTACCACACAAAGATAACATGTCTGCTCGTATCATGTCATTGTGTGTGAATAGTTCTATTGAATTCTCCCGATATTGACAGCAACAAGAGATTTGGTTTCCATAGAAATAAAAGAAATCTATTAGCTATCAGATGAGACAAAAAATACCGGGCAGCCCGTCTGTAACAGAAAGCTGTAATGGCAACATGCTACCCTTTTATGCCTCCATCACAAATCAAATTGCGCATTGTGTGACATGAGCAAATATTTTAACTATTGACTTTTAAAGCTCTGCATCAATTAAACACTGCATTTAAAACAATTGCTTTTCAGTTGTTTTTTTTGTTAAATCTATAAGAACTTATTTTATGCAGGCTTACAGCTTGAAAAAATAGAAAAATAGTAGTAGTTTTCTTTCTTATTAACTGCAGAGCAGCACTTTTTTTGTTTGACAACTTTTTATGCAAGCCAAGTTGTCAAAGATCGTGAGAATCTTAAAAAAAAATTAATTTTTCCAGCATCTTGTTAACCTATTTTAAGTATATATGTACAAGCTAGAAATGTTTCCCTTTTCTTCGTGTATAGAATTAAAATTCCCATCATAAAAGGCTCCACTATTCAATGCATCTAATATTCATATTCTGCTACATACACTATGTACAGGCATGTATCTTAAGCTAATTATATTTGATTAATTACCTCCCCAACACTGTGGCAGATGGGGGTATGGTTTGTGTTAGACAGATGATCAAGATCCTTAATTTTCACAAGCCCATAATGATCAGAAGATGAAGCATTAATTATGCACAGTCAGATTCATTTGAAATGAAATGAAGACTTATTCAATGACATTAACTTTCTTAAATGTATTATTCTGGTCATGGGTCACAGTCCATGTGAAAATAATTATCTGCATAGCATAGGTCATTTATAATACAGAAATTTTAAATATACAACTTAGGAAATTTTGTACTTTTTGCAATTAAAAAAAATCATATTTTGCAAATATTGTCCCTTTCTGTATAATTTTTGAACATGTGTAATTTTGTATTTTTAAATTTGCTTTTTGGTGTACAAGCAAATACCAACTAAATCTTAACACCAGTAACTATATTCTATAAAACGAAAATATACATTCCGTTCCTGGATAAGCAGCCAACATAACAGCTGATTGTCCATGATTGATGTATCCATTAATTACCATTTTCTGTTTGCTAATCCTTCCGTAGGAGAACAAGGCATACAAAACACTTAAGGACAAATAACAACCTAAAGACACTTTTCCTGATCCGTACGATCTCCGTGGAATTATCGGAACAATCCGCGGGATCTTCCACAGAGACGTTAGCTATTTATTATGCAGGAATGATGGCATTCGCACACGGTTTTTTGCCTCTTCAGAGTATCGATCAGGCCTGGGTTAATAATCCCTTTGTCAGACACACTCACACACTTGGTAAGACAACAATCTTCTAAATCATGGATGAATTCAATCCTTTACACCTCATTTCCATGACCAGAAACAAGCCAGATTAATGTGTTTGACATCAGATGCTAGCTTTTTTCTCCCTCGATTTTTTTTTTGCATGTTCACGTATTGATACCCTGTAATGTGCCTTTTGTCTGGGAATCGGAGGAATGACTCAGAAGCTCCTCATTAAATAAATTACAGGAATTTTGTTCCCAAACAAAATTTAATTTTTCTCCATTATTCCATGAACTACAAATTCTGCAATTAATTCATTCACGGAATATCAATTAAGTCTTTGTAGAGATCTTGTGTTTGTTTTAGAGGGGCATGGATTCTTTGAATAATTTATTTTCAATTGTTTCAATATCATTCAGCAATTGTATTACTTTTTTTAAGAACAGCCTATACGATTACAGCAAATATTTTTCAATAATATTTAATTAATATATCAGCTGCAAAACTCATGCAGCCCTTTGGGGAAAAATTTAGAAAGCCATACCAGAGATCTACCAATCTCACCAAAGAAAAAAAAAATCTTTAATTTACGACACTCTTAAATTTGGTCACATTTTCAAAAGGCTCCACACGGATAGAGTTACATCCCTTTGGGACCTTTATCATAGAGCAGAGTAAAGACTGACATATCCCAATGCCACAGAAGGACTTTTTGATTCAGATAAAAGAATTAACAAGCACAAGAAATGATGGACCTAAATCTCCAGTCTGGGGGAAATTAAGAATGACGAATACAACAATCAAAATACAATTTGGAGGAATCAAAATAATTTCAACCAAAACTTAAATAAAAGAAAACAAAATGACATATTAATTATCTATGAATTTCGATTTGCCTCATAAAATAGATAGTTCATTTATACTAACCCAACATCTTGGGTTGTTTGCCCTTAAGATTCAGTGTAAAATGTCAATACCAAGAGAAAGCTGAATTTTGTGTGAAAGTTAACATTTTTCAACAGATGCAATGCTTACATGCCATATATATTTACTTGAAAACTTCATTTATTACGTTACACATCTGGACTGAGTTCAATGATATTTCACCATCTCTATCTCTACCCACTTTTTGTACATTTGAAATGTTTCAGATATTGCAATACTGTCTGACCCTTGCCTGACCGGTGGTTAGTCTTTAATATTTTATGATCAGCAGCACCATTATCAAAACTTCTATGCTGAAATTCAATAACTAAGGAAAGCTTAATTGTGTATTATAGAGAAAATCCCGATAATTATCCCGACATTACAGCATCATTACTTGTTCCGTTCTGTCCGTCGTATCTCGACTACCTTAACAGTTACACATATAAAAGACAACCTATCTCCTGCTTCATCAGGAAGCTAATGTTATCACTCTGACTCCAGCAAAATAAAAAACTTCACCGATAAGATGGCACCAAAAACAAGAACCAGGGGAAAAGTAAAATAAATTATTATTGAAGGTGGATGTAAAATTTCTCTGGTTTCATCAATGTTGTGATTTGTGATAATTCTCGGTATGATGGCAGTTTCTTTCATGTCTTTGCATTCCTTCTCTCACTTGAATGTGAACAATGTCTGCCATTTATTCCCTCCCTCACTCAATGTGAACAATTTCTGTCATCTACTTGTTTATACCCAAGCAACATATTAATAGTATCCCATGAACTTAAAGAGTTATGAATATGTGCCTGAATAAAGTGCATCGTTATGCCTTAATTTACTGAATTGCTTATTTTGGACCTGTAATTATCTCCCCTTTTTCATCACTTGTTTTTACTTTTTGTCCATTAAAACCAAAAACATTTCCTACTTTGAATCAGGAAAACTATAATTTCATTGATACATATGTCTCTATATTAAATTATGTACTGAATTGCTTAATTAGCTCTAAAATTACCTCCCCTTGTACATTTTTCGCTGTCCATTAAACCCATCCCCCTTCCTTAATTTTTCAGAAGCTGAGATTGACAGGAACCTATTACAGACAAGGAAAATTATGTGTGTTGTAAATGGAAGCAATTTAAATTTCATTTGATCCATCATTCCTCCTCGATTCAGAGAAAAAAAAATTTCTAAGACTTGATAACTTTTAAAATGACATTTTCCCAGAAAAAAAAATTAAACAGTAATTAAATAAAAATAAAAAATTTCAGTTGGTTCAAAAGAACAACTATCTACAATTGTAGATCTCCATTGATTAGTGTTTGATCATATACATGTATAAAGTGCCACGAGGCATTTGACTGCATTGGTCAGCATACTGCTGGGAGACCTAATGCATTTACAGATTTCATAAGAGACAGAGTAAAATCAATACATGATATTATACACATATCTCATTACCTTAAACTGATAATAAAATCCTGTTCAATGTTGTATAATCACAAGAGAATTTCTGTTCTGCAGCTTTTCAGTGACTAGAAACAATTTCTTCTGAGATCAGTATATCCAAGTCTACAATGATAAGGATAAAGGTTGAGACATTTAATAAATAAACAATACAAGATCATGAAACAAATATTGTGTTGAAATGGTGAATTCTGGACCAGATTGTTCATGTTTCCCAAGAAATAATTGTGCCCATCAAAAACTCCCATAATTTGGAAGCGTTTCTCGACAGATTCCGTCTACAAACAAAGACACGTACAGTCACATCATCATTCAATTCTAGCGTTTTATCACTAATCAAGTTAAAGCCTTCCACGATGCCCCTCTAACAAGACATTATTATTGATTCCCTTAAAAGAGAGGAAACGAGAAGAAATTAGGAACATTACTCCATTACTGCTTTATAAATCCCTCAAATTCCTTTCGTGGATGTTGAGAATTCATTAAGAAAGTCCTTAAATCCTGAAAATTCTCTGGAAAGAGTAAACTTTTCCCTGTGTCATGCGTAAGTTAATAATCACGACTGTTAGAATTTTTTCTCGGTTGCCTCAAGCTCTCCATACACAAATCAATAAACTTGGTATTCTTTTGTTTCCGACTGATGTTGTTTTTGCAGCGAATACAAGGGATTCAGAAACAGTGAATAGATTTATAATGGAAGTTAATTGATACCCTATATTACCTTCAAATCAAGCCCCTGGCAAGAAATCAATGAAAGAACTTAGTTACAGAAGATTTTTTTCCCGTTTTTGTGTCAACATCATTCTGTGTTTTAATCCTTTGGTATGCTTATGGTATCAAATATATGTCACAGTTTACAGTTCTAACAATGTTATTTCAAAGCAAATCCACCATCTGAAGCTCTGACAACCACTAGTAACATAAATTCTTAACACAGGAAGTGTTATGGGATCCAACACCAATAATAAGCTTTTTCAAATGATTTAAATTAATTTTATTTCTAGGTGCTACTTACAGCAAGGCAAAGTGCTTAATAATTTATAACATATTAAAATGTATTACACATCTCCATTCTAACTGCACTAGGCATTAAAAAAAAAAATACGGGAATACAAAAAAATTTATTCCATGCTTTCTGTAAAGCTCTGAATTTTGATGAATATTTTATCAAATGCATATTGACATTCTGAAATAAATAAAACACCAAGCTCTCTGATTCCATAAGCTTTTTAAAACTCTTTAATATACATTACATAATGTGTCAAGTTGGGTGAATGTTATTTGTGACATCTATTTATTACATCTATCAATGAGACTATCTGACATCAAGAAACTATCCACAGTACTGGGAATAGAGGAGTAAATTTCAACAAAAAGAAACATTAAATCCAAACATATACTTTTTAACTGATCCCCTTTGTAGAACTGAACCATCTAAAAGTCAGGTGTACATCTGCCCATATCTCTCAGTTCTGCAGGTTAACTCTCTTTCAAGATTTTTTTTTTGTTAGAAATTTTTTTGCAAACCAGGTTTTATTAACCAGTTTTTGTGACCTTTTTTTTCACCTGCATATAATTCTCCTCACAACACAACAATAAATTGAGTTTTAAGGTTGAATGACCCCTCTGATAGGAGAGATAACTCTCAGTAGGTCAAATGATTAATATTCTTTGGAATAAAGGTATGATAAACTTTTTAAAAATATGCCATGTGTTTGGTGGAAAAGTCCTCACATTTTTCAGAAGAGAAGAAACATTGACAGCCTTGAAATGCAATGTTTTTGCATTGATTTCCATACTCAATATCTTGGCCAAGAAATTTCAATAACATCCTGAATTTTTAATCATTTTATGATCTGTCTCTGGTCTCTACCCTTTTGCAATAATAATTACAAACATTTTTGCAGCTAATACCAAAATACCTGATTTTCAAAATCTCTGTCAATATTACAGAACTGATAACATCTTTATCCCTCTTCAGAGTGAAGTGTCAATGACATGCAAGCACCAATTCATAACCCATTTCACACATATTTCAGTTGCTGTAATAAGATCTTCAGGTATTGATTACACAGAGAAAATTAAAATATTTGACAGAGTTGTTGTATCTGTCATTGTAAAAAACATGACTATTTCTCTGAGTAAATAAAAACACTGATTAATTAATTAAATGTGGTTTTCCATCCCTTCCCTCAATACGAGGGGCATTTCAAAAGTCCTGGCAACTGGTATATAAAATTTAAACTACCTTACGGATTAAAATGACTCTGATACCACTGTAAAGCTTATACAAATATGCATTAGTAGTGACGTCATTTTACATTCAAAATGACGCATACTAAAAACGTCATAATTAGGTTTTTTTGAGCGTAAAAATGACTGACAAGGAGAACAATTTTTTTGTTGAGCAAAGAGCGTATTGCAAACTTCGCTCATTGCTTGGCTTTACGGCAACAGAAATAAAAGCCGATTTAGATGTTGTATATAGAGAACATGCTCTTTCATATAGATCAATAGCAAGATGGGTTGTTCAATTTAAAGAGGGTACAAAATCAGTTGAAGATGACCCCCGTCCGGGGCGTCCAGTTTGTGCATATGGCGAAAAAGAAATCGTCGCTGTTCAAAATACGATAGCCGATGATGCTAGATATACAGTTGAGGAAATAGCAGAATTAACTAACATTAATTCGTCAGCAGTTTTTCGTATTTTAAAGGAAAACTTAAAGCTTAAAGTCTGTGCAAATTTCGGAAGAGCAAAAGCGCATTCAATGGCTTCACAGTTACTAACAATTTATGAAGATTGTGACCAAAGGCAAAAAGATTGTAACTGGTGATGAAACATGGATATATTTTTTTGAACCGGAAACACCAATAATAAAGTTTTTAATAAGGCCTCAAATTACCAAAAGGCCATGAAAAATTAATCTTTAGAACCAATTTGCAAGTGATTTTTTACTTTTTATAATTGTTAAATTGTACAATAATGTCAGTATCAAACAAACCATGGACTCTTCGTACATATTGTTTTCATTATGTTAATGCCAATATGAATAGATTTTATTCTTTTAAATATTTAAAGAAGATTCTTGCTTTTAAAAAATTAAAAACTTGATAATTAATTAACAAATTATCAAGTACACATACCATACGGCACATCCTTACAAAATAAGGTGGGGATGCCAATAAATTGTGTATTCATAATTTCTCATCGGCCTTTCCCCAAATACATTTTAGTTTTTAACTAACAAATGATTAATTCCTCTGTTTTGTGTAAAATATCATAGATTTCCATCTTCCTAAAAAATTTGATCATTCGTGAGACTTGACATGTTCGACATTAAAATAGGCCATATTTGCAAAATCTATATTAAAATTTTCTAATAAAATATTCTACTGAAAAACCTAGGCCTGAACAGTTTTAAGATTTAACATTTCCTTAGCACTTAACATTCTCTAAGATCTGTCAACGATGTTTTATTTTTTTTATCTTCAAATTAAAATCATTTACAGCTAGAGCACTGACCAAGTGTCAGTCTATTTTAGTTATAAAAACTTGCTCATGTCAGTGAAGATACTATGTTTTGATGTTTTCTCTATACTGACAATTTATCCCTTCCTTCCACAATTAAACTGCTTTTATTGCCGATTGTTCTCTGTTCTTCTCTTGGCTCTTTTGCTATAAATAGCGACAAGCGACTTTTAATACGGGAGATAACCTTAAACTTTAAAGCTGAATAAAAATACATGAAAATACTTTTATGAACACCCAAAAATCAAAATAAAAAACACCGGGGCGGGACATTTTGAGACAACTAAAGATTAATTTTATTGGCCTAATGTACGCTTTATTTTTTGATTCTAGAGGCCCCAACCAGAACACAGCAGTGTTACTGGTCAATTTTATCAGAAAATGTCTTGTCTCAGGTTGTAGAGCACATACCAACTAACGCACATATATCAGAGGTAGTAACCAAATATTTAAAAGAGAATGGTATTGCCGTTTTGCCACATCCACCCTATAGTCCTGACCTTGCCCCATGCGATTTTTGGTTGAATGCCTACATAGTACATACGGCAAGTTGTCATAAAGCCGTATTCCAGTGTATGAAACGTATACCAAAAAACGGCATTTTCCACGTGGATTTACTGAAAAGTGTGTCCAGGTCAACGGACAACTATTTTGAGGGATTGGTATAATTTAATTTATGATAATGACGTTCATTAATTTACCGCACACCAGTTGCCAGGACTTTTGAAATGCCCCTCGTAGCTATAGGTGAGATAATAAAGTCAGTTGTGAGTTAATGTTTGCTCACTACAAAACCTGTTGTTTTTTTTTGGATCTCACTCTGTTTTCTTTTACCCATGATTTTCTCATGCAAATTCTTAGCACATTGAAGCCCCCCTTTCAATACCCATCCATTAACATAAAAACCTTAAGTGGTAACACTTGGCAGGAATTAAATTTGCTAAAGAAACTATACATATCAAATTTGATTCAAGTCCATTCAAAAAGCCAAAAAGTTAACTGCTATGCACGATGCAGCAACACCAATTTTAATAACCTAATACCAAAAGGTCAACCAATTGCAAATGATCCAGTCTTGAAAAACCAAAGAGAGACCTTGTTATAAAAAATACACACAAACATGAAATCAGACAGATAGGAGAAAGGTGCCAAAATACTCCTCATTCCAAATTATAAGAGTCATTTTCAGAATTGCATCAAAATTTCCAAGTCCACTGGTCTCTTGCTACATACCAACTAGAGCACTAAGTCTTACCATAAAACCCTTGCTACATCACAACTGCAGCATTCCGGCTTACTGAAGAACTTCTTACCAGACAACTCTTTGTTACATACCAACTAAAGCATTCGGTCTCTCAAAAGAACCTTTATACATACCAACTAGACCATTCAGTCTTACTAAAGAACCCATGCTACATAGTACATACCAACTAAAGCATCTAATCTTACCAAAAAACCTTGTTACATACCAACTAGACAATTCAGTCTTACCAAAGAACATTTGCTGCATAGTACATACCAACTAGAGCATTCAGTCTTACCAGAGAACCTTAAATAAAACATACCAACTATAGCA